CACTCAAGAGCCAGGGACGAGGTTGCTAGGGACGTCGTTCGTCAATAACGGGACGCCATGATAGTTTGCTCTGGTCACCGTAAATTTGGGACAATGTCGGTGACGCCCGAGACCGGTATGGCAGAAGGTGGCTTCGGCACCTACTGCGCACGCACACGAACATCGCTGACGTCCCTGGCTTGCTCAGGGCCGTGACGTGGCCCACTCCTCCTGTCAACAACTGGATACATCGACTTTTTGGAACTCGCCGCCGCCATCTGCAAATTCGTCCGCGCCCCCTTCGGACACCTGGGCAAAACCGCACCTCGACCTGGCAGGCAGCTGCCGAGAGACAAAGACACTCATGAGTTCGGACCACGGCCGGTCTTCTCCGGTACTCCGGAGGGAGTCAAACCCGAAGTCCTCCATCAGTTCTGCGAACACACTCAATTTCCGTTTGCTCAAGGCAATCTTCGAATTTCCTCCAGGCAATCGGCGAATTCGAGTGCTTCCAAGTCCACCGGAGACTAACCCAGTCGACCGGCTACAGCCTCTGCGAACGGCTCCGCAATGTACCCCGTGAACCCGACGTCAGGCTGAAGAAGTTCCTTCAAACGAACTGGCTGAATCTCCATCCGACGATAGAGAAAAGACTAGCTATAGCGGTAGAGAGTAGACAAGATATAGAGGCGGCAGAACGAGGAACCCACCAGGTTAGACGCGACGCCGTGTGAAGCACCCGTAGGAGAGCGAGAGAGGAACACAGATTGAGGTGGTGCCGCTTCTCCCCTACTTTATTAGAGAGAGCGGGATGGTAACGGGTTTGTCTTGTCGGGCGAAAAGCTTGCAGGCGTCCAACAATATTTGGGCGAGGACAGGCAGTAGGCAGGGGCGGTCTTGTTCCAGGCGTCCAGAACCTTCTGCTTGGAGCTCTCATTTAAGAAATAGCAATAGATGCTGTGGTATTTTACGTCATAGCCCTGTGGTGTCCTACACCATAGCCTTCTGTACGAACTGCAGAGCTGTAATACGGCGGCAGGTATATGTCTGTCCAGAACCCGGTGACCTCCCCCCATGACCAGACTTCATCAAACGGAGTCTCGGACACGAATGTCATAAAGTGTCTCGGCCGACCCATTGGTCCTGTTCGCTGACGCCGTGCAAGTCAATGCCGGGAATCGCACCCGCGATCTCCTGCGCTCGGCGAACAGCCAGCAGTTTGTCGTGCTCGTCTCTGTCGTTGCACTGGTACGAGCACTCAGTAGGCTTCATGTGGCAAACGACAGGGACCAGACGTGACGCTACCGAGTAGGCTTGACCGTCGTAAGGTCTGACACGGAATAGCAACCGCCAACGTCAACCTTCCCTTGACGCCGCCAAACTGAATCGACCGTTCAACTTCGGAGATAAAACAACCTAAGACAAAATGGGGGACCGCTTATGTTAGGGGATCGGTGGAGCGAGCAGGCCATGGTGTGTCCTGTTGAGTGCCGGGGGACGGCCTGCCAACGCTGAGCTCGTCGTCTGAGTTACGGAGTAGGGGTATCGTGTCAGGGGTGTGTGTTGCCCTCTGTCTCCCTTATATCAAAAACCCCATTGCCGGCCCGTCATTGAGCTGTTGTGTCTCAACAGGCCAACCCCCTCCCAGCTCAATGGGGGACCGCTGGGCCATTGAGCGATGAGGCTGCGGAGCCTGGGTCATTAAGAACTACCACTAGGTCTCTTTGTTTGAGGTTGTTTGGACTATCTTTTCCAGCGGGCACTCCCTGAACATTACCTCGCTCTCGGAGCCGCATTCTCTCTGCGCTCCTCCTCCGTCGGTCCGTAGTGGAACGCGATTACCAACCGTGTGCGTAGCTTACTGGGGACGAAGATTCTGCCGGTCCTAATGTGTATCCACCACAGTCCGTCGTAGTGGAGGCCGGTGATGTTGGGGTTCCCTTCCTCCTTGTAAGCCGCGATAAAGTCTTCCTTGCTTGTCAGAGGTTTGGCGATTCTCGTGGCTGCCACTCTCCACAGCATCTGGTCGATGAGTTTGTCGTCGTCGGCGTCATTGCCTGCGTACCTACTCAGCCAGTCTGCGATATGATCGCGCTCTCCCGAAAGAAACTCAATCGTGAAGTCATAGTTACTGAGGGCGAGTGCCCACCTGAAGACTTTGCCGGTGTCGACGTTTGTTAGGTGGCGGAGATCGTTGTGGTCCGTGCGCGCGGCGAAGTGCGCCAAGCTGACATAGTCGCGCCACTTCTCTACCGCCCACTTAACTGCGAACAGCTCCCTCTCTCGCGTGTCCCAGCGTCGCTCCGTGGGGTTGAACTTCCTACTAGCAAACTCTAACGGCACTTCTACGTCACCTTGACGCTGCTTTAGCAGAGCTCCTACTCCCAGTTCGGAGGCGTCCGTCTCGATTATGTAGGTTCCT